AACAGCCGGAGCCCCGGGACCCCCCCCCAGCACTGCCCTGGAGCCACTGGGCGCCGACGGGAACCCACAGGGCTTGGGGGGGGGGGGAGTTTACAGTAACATGGGGAGAGGTGGGGGAGGGGTAGGCTGGGGGGCACTGAGCGGGGGGGCAGGGGTGGGGCAGGAGGAACAGCAGAGAAATGGGGGGCAGGGTGGGGCACACACGGGGTGTGCAGGGAGACTGAGTCACGGGGGGCACAGCACAGATGGGGGAGGTGCAGGGGAGCGGGGAGCCAGGCCAGGGCACTGACACAGGGGCTGGGGGCTGTGGGGCAGGAGAAGGTCCCAGGCTCTGGCTCTGGAGTAGCCTGTTAATGTGGATTCACCCAGGTTCCCTGGGGGTGGGGATGTAAAAGGGAACGATTCTGTGCATTGTGTCTCACCCCCATGGGAGGGGCCTGGTCCCCCCATGGCCCCTCCCCCTGCCCAGCCTGGGACCCCCCCCAAACACCGCAGGGGGAACCAGAGCTCATGGAGGAAAGACAGAGACCCACACACCCAGCACCGGACTCGCCAGGGTGCGTGGGACCCAATCCCCCCCTCATACATCTGCTGTCTGCCTGGATGGGTCTTGCCAGGGCATATGGGGCTGATCCTCCCCAACACACCCAGCACCTGCCCAGGACAGGGCTCCCCGGGGTGTGTGGGGTCCAATTCCCCCGATACACCTGGTGGCTGCCTGGCACAGGGCACCCTGGGCTGGGTACGGTCCGATTCCCCCAATACACCCGTGACCAGGATGGGGCTCCCCAGGGCATGTGGGGTCTGATCCCCTTGATACATCCAGCACCCGCCTGGGATGTGGCTCCCTGAGGTGTGTGGGGTCCAATCCAACCTGAACCTCATAGATACACCCAGCACCCACCTGGGACATGATTCGCAGGGCATGTGGGGTCCAATCCCTCCCGGATACACCCGGCGCTGCCCAGGACGGGGCTCCCCGGGGCGCTGGGGTCTCTGCTCACCTGGGGGCTCCGTGCAATGAGCCAGGTGGGTTCTCAGCACCGTCAGTGTCAGTAGCAGAGCCCCAGCCCAGCCGCTCCCGGCCCCCGGGATCCGACCTGCCCCCATCGCTGCTCAGGAGGGAGAGACCTGGAAAGTTGTCGGGACCCCCCAGACTGAGACCTTCTCTGCCCAGCTCCGAGCACCAGCCCCGGGATGCTGCCCACGGCCCCGGGGATTGGGCGCCCCCAGCCCAGGGGCCAGTCAGCACTGGGGCTGGGCAGCGTCATCAGTCGCCAGGCAGAGCCGGCCCCAGCAGGGCTCGGTTCCCTACTTCTCCTCGTAGGGGGCAGAGCAGGGCCTGGGGTCGGGCTGCAGGACTCGCCCGGTGCCTGCCTTGGCACCGGGGCAGCTGCAGAGCGGGGCCAGCCCAGGGATTAGCCCCCACCAGAGCAGGGCCCCCAGCAACGGGCCTGGGACCCTCTGTCCCCTTCCCCTGGTGCCTCGACCCTCTGCTGGGGGTGGGGCAGGCCAGGTGTTGGGGGGTCTCTGGTTTGTTGGGGGTAAATTTAGCCCCAGGGGAAGGATCGGGGTCTCAGTCTCCATGAGGCACAGCTCGGCCTCCCAGCTGCTCCCACCATCGATCTCCCTAAGGGGCTTCTCTGGCCCCCCAGTCTCTGAGCCCCTCCCCCTCTCTGCTGCATTCACCCCCCACCCCGTGGGGCAGGGCCGGGCCATTGTTCCCATGGCCCAGCTGGGGAGGGAGGCCCAGAGGAGTCAGTGACTGGCCCAGGGTCACACGAAGTCTGTGGCAGGGCCGGGAATGACCCCAGGGTTCGTGGGTCCCAGGCCAGCCCCGAACTGCTGGGCCCAGGACAGACCCCAGGGGAGGGCGTTTGGTCACTAACAGGAGATCGGAGCCGGTGCCAGCAGAGGGGAAAGGCCCCATGTCCCCGTCCCCACCTCCCCAGCCAGTCAGTCCCGGCCCTGGGGCCAGATGGGGACAGCGCCCCCTAGAGCAGGGGTCCCCAACGCGGTGCCCGCGGGCGCCATGATGCCCACCGGGGCGTCTAAGTGCGCCCGCGTAGTGGCCGTCGGACGAGCATCTGCTGAAATGCCGCCAATGAGCTGCATCATCCAGAGGCGTCGCCGCCGAAATACCGCGATTTTCGGCGATATTTTGGCGGCGACGCCTCTGGATGACTCTGCTTGTCGGCGGCATTTCGGCGGCAACGCCTATTTACGTTGCCGCTTGTTGGTGGAATTTCGGCAGATGCTCATCCGCCGCCACGGTCCTCCATGGCTTGTCGTCTGGTGCCCGCCAGACGAAAAAGGTGGGGGACCACTGCCCTAGAGGGTGATGGGCTTGTGTCCCAGTCTCCCACCGTTTGTGGCCTAGTCTACACTTAGCACTTATCCCAGGAGAGCTCTGTGGGTCGGGAGTGTGACCCCCCCAGTGCAGAGCTGGCCCGGCCAAGTCCCCCGTGTGCACACAGCCGTGCTGCAGAACAGGGGGTCTGGGGGTGGCATGAGCACCGTGTGGGGAGGTGCTGTCCCCACACTGGGGACACCCCCCCCCACTCCCAGCAGCGCTGCGTCCACATCAGGGACAACAACACCCCCCCTCCCCCGGGCGGCACCGTGTCCACACCAGGAGCAGGTGTGTGTGGCCGGGAATTTGCAGTATTGTCAGCCCCAAATGTTCAAAAATCCTGAGATTCTGTACAAATCCCAGCTGTGGGGTTTATTTGCCTTCTGCTCTTTGAGCCTCAGGGTGCCCGGGGGTCACAGGTTGAAGCTCTCCCCACAGACACTCCCTTTGTCTCTAAGAACGAGGCTGGAATCGTCCCAGACTCATGTGACTCCTGGAGCTGGGGCTTTAGGAAAACACAAGAATTATTCTGAGACTCGTGACACAATCCTGAGAGCCGGGAACCCTGAATTTCTCCATCTCCTCTCAGTGAGGCTCGGCGCTGCTGCTCTGCCCGGTAACAGCCTGGTCAGCGCAGGGATTTCTGCCATTGGGCGCAGGCCCCTGGGCCGGGCTCCCCTGGCCAATGCTGGGTGCTGCCCCCAGCCCTGCTCCCCCCCGCAGGGTGTGACATGTGCCCCCCCCCGGTCCCCTAGTGCTGCTGGCCCCGCGCCCAGACCAGTGCCGGGGAGAGGAGATGGGTGCAGGACACGGCGTCCCCATGGCCCAGCTGGCCCTGCTCACCCTGCTGGCCCTGCCGGGCGCCGGGGCGGTGACAGGTACGGGCGGGGGCTGGGACACCTGGGCCTGGGGGGCGGCTTCACCCCCATAGCGCCCGGCTCCCACCCCCAGGGATGGGACAATGGGGGGGCTGATGGGCCACCGGGGTGAGCTGGATTTGGGGGAAGCTGCAGGGAGGAGGGTCTGGTCCCATAGTAGGGAGGGGACGGGGTGGGCAGGGAAGGGTGGGGGGGCTGATCTGGATGGGGTGGGGGCTGCAGTGGGGAGGGTCTCACCCCCATGCCAGTGGGGGAGGGGAGGCTGGCGTGGGGGCAGCAGAGGGATTGTGGGGAAGTCGCTGTGGTTTGGGTATGACACAGCCCTGCCCTAGAGGTGCAGCCCCCCTCCCCCACAGGGACTCAGGGGCTGACCCCTCCCAGGGGGGCGCCAGGCACAGGGGGGATGGGGGAGTGTTCCCCAAAGAGCCGCGCCAGGGCCAAACCCTGCAGTGAGTGCGTCTGTGCAGAGCAGGGAGCCCTTGGCCCCGATCCCCAGCCTGGCCCAATTGTCTCCGCAGGACTCAGACTCATGGGGGGACGGGGGGTCTGCAAGGCAGACTGTCTCCTTGGCTAGTGGTGATGGGTTCCCTGCTTTGCAATCGCTCGGTGAGTTGCTGCTGGGTGAGCTGGGATCCCTAGGACAATGGTTCTCAAACTTTTGTACTGGTGACCCCCTTCACACAGCAAGCCTGAGTTTGACCCCCCCTTATACATTAACAACACTTGTTTATATATTTAACACCATTATAAATGCTGGAGACAAAGCGGGGTTTGGGGTGGAGGTTGACAGCCGTGACTGCCCATGTAATAAGCTTGTGACAGCCTGAGGGGTCCCGACCCCCAGTTTGAGAAACCCTGCCCTAGGATGTAGGTGCCCAACTCCCTTGGGCCCTGGGCAATCCCAGCCTCAGCCCTGAGCCAGACCCTCCCCCTCCCGGAGTGTGTCTGACCCCACAGCGCAGCTTTAATGTCTCTGGCTGGGGAGTTCCCGGGTCTCCCAGTGACCGGCCCTGGGGGGTGAGTGTCGGGGGCCAGGGACTGAAATCGCCCCGAGAACCAGGTCATGGCAACCCTGGGACACGGAACCAGCCCCACACACAGATGGGAGAATGAAATGTCCTGCAGCCGCAGCCCCCAGCTCCCCCGAGGAGCCGCTCTGGGCTGGGTCACGTCCCCACTTGCCAGCGGAGCCGGGTTTGGTCTGGTCACTGCTCGGCTGGGAGACGTGAATGGAAACCAGGGAACTGAGCAGGGGTCAGCAGGGGGGTCTCTGCTCTCTCAGTCCTTGCACCTAGGGGACCTGTGCTGGGGGGAGGGGCAGGGGTGCTCTCTCATGGCAGTCAGTGCTGGCCCCAAGGCCCCCCGCGATGCTGGGGGGCACCGTGCTCCATGCACCTGCCTTCCCCTGACACCGGGGAGTCCTAGTGCGAATGTCACAGCCAGGGGGCTGCACTGCTGAGGGAAGTGCTGAGAGCCCCTCTCCCGGGGTGGGGAGCAGCCCCCCTGGGTGGCTGGTGCTGACGCCCGTCTCCCTGCAGTGGAGAACATGCTCTCCCAGGTGGGGTTCTACCAGCGCACGGACCCGGCCCAGCGGGAGGCTGGGGAGTTCATGTTCGAGTTCGACCAGGACGAGATCTTCTATGTGGACCTGGAGAGGAAGGAGACCGTCTGGCGCCTGCCTGACTTCGGCAAGTTCACCAGCTTCGAGGCGCAGGGCGCCCTGGGCAATATCGCCGTGCTGAAGAAGAACATGGAGATCATGATCCAGAGGTCCAACCGCACGCGGGCCCAGAACGGTACGGCATGATGGGGTAGGGGCTGGGTTGGTGTGTGAACAGGGGATGGTGGGGCAGAGACAGGAGGCATCTCTGGTTAGGAAGGTGGTGTGAGGGCTCAGGTCCCTAGCGGGGAAGGTGGGGGGATGGCTCAGGTCCCCTCCTTTCTCTGCCCCACTGTCCCCTGCTCACACACCAAACAAACCCAATACCAGACCCCACCATAGACACTGCATCCCCACTTGGCTCCTTCCAGCCCATGGGGGATTCTCTCCCCTGCCCCTTGTTCCCCATGAGCCGTCAGTGCAGGGAGCTGGGATGGCCCTGGTGACGCCCCCACAGTCCTGGGGAGAGACCCCTGAGCTGGAGCGTGAGCACCAGGGACTGGCTGGTTCAGGGAGGGGGAATAGGACCCACTAACCCCTGTCTCCCCAGTGCCCCCTGAGGTGACCGTGTTCCCCGAAGACCCCGTGGAGCTGGGCGAGCCCAACGTCCTGATCTGCTTTGTGGACAAGTTCTCCCCGCCAGTGCTGCGCCTCACGTGGCTGAAGAACGGGCAGGAGGTGACCGAGGGCGTCTCCGAGACCGACTTCTACCCCCGCCAGGACAACTCCTTCCGCAAGTTCTCCTACCTGCCCTTCCTCCCCAGCCAGGGCGACTTCTACGACTGCCGGGTGGAGCACTGGGGGCTGCCCAAGCCCTTCACGAAGCACTGGGGTAAGGTCGGGGCGCCCGGGGACCCCGCTGGGCACAGGACTGGGAGCCAGGACGCCTGGGTTCTATCCCAGCTCAGGGAGGGGAGGGGAGGAAGGGTTGGTGAGTTAGAGCAGCAGGGACTGCGAGCCAGGACACCTGGGTTCTCTCCTGGCTCTGGGAGGGGAGTGGGGACTAGTGGGTCAGAGTGGGTGCGCAACTGGGAGCTCAGACTCCTGGGTTCTATCCCAGCTCTGGGAGGGAGGGGTGGGAACAGCCCCCCTCACTCCATGGCCTGTCCCTCTCCCCCTGTCTCCAGAAGTCCAGGTGCCCACCCCCGTCCCCGAGACCACAGAGACCCTGGTGTGCGCCCTGGGCCTGGCCGTGGGCATCATCGGCATCATCGCGGGCACCATCCTCATCATCAAGGGGATGAAGATGAACGCCGCCCGCAACCCGCGGGGCCCATTGTGAGTAGCCGCTGCCCGGGGAGGGCACCAGCTGCACCCGCAGCCCCTGGGCCCACCCAACACCCACTGGGGAGTGTTATCAGATTTGCCCATTACTTTGGGCTGTGCTCATTTATTAGGGTTACTCTTCGGGGGAGGGTCCTGTAATTCTATCAATGTACTGCTTGTGTCACTTGTGTTTTCCTATGGAGTTATCCTGCAGAGAGACACACACAACCGGATCAATCAGCACTTTCAAGCTGCCACCCTCATATGTCACAAGTTCAGCACATCCCTATTCCCACTTTCATGTCACAATTATTCAGATAGTAACCCACTTGAAGAGCAAACCCCACAGTATTTTTGGGCGCTGCAGGGATCTTTAGCTTAGGTAAGAGAAGCGTTGCTGCAGAGTAAATGGGGAAACACAAAAGAGTAAAGTTCAGAGAGAGAGGGAGGGAGGGAAGCAACCAGCTTAACCATAGAAGTTATTTATTGAATAATAGTGATAACCACACAAGGAGCCTAAACCAACATCACAGTTACATTATCAAAGGTTACAAAAGTCAGATATAGAAAACTAGACCTGATCAAATAAGTCAGGGTTAGAAAGTTATACCTGAGGTAGAAAAGAAAACAGAGAGAGAGAGAGCGAGCTGGGATCTTACCACTCCATGAGGCTTGAACTGGTCGGGGTTCCCAGATGGTGGTGGTAGCTGAGGGTCCTGAGTGCTGGAGACAGGCAGAGCTCCTGGCACGATCAGTCAGGAGAAGATGGAGTCCCAGAGGAACTGATGCAGAGTTTGGATCCAAGCATCAGAACCCTGACTGGAGCATGAGTAGGAGTTTTTGTAGGGAAACAACAATGGTTCAAGGAGAACACTACATTTGTTTATGGGTAAACTGATGACCCAAGCCAGTGGTCCACAACCTTTTTCGTCTGGCGGGCGCCAGATGACAAGCCAAGGAGGACCATGGCGACGGACAACCATCCGCCGAAATGCCGACGACGAGCAGCGTCATCCAGAGGCATCGCCGCCGATTTTCGGTGGTATTTTGGCGGCGACGCCTCTGGATGCTGCTGCTTTTCGGTGGCATTTTGGCGGATGCTTGTCCGTGGGCACCGCGTTGGGGACCCCTGACTCAAGGGTTTTCTTTAGACTAGACAATAGGAGCTGATCACTCTTGGCTATGAGTGATGTTTACTTCCAGGGAGCTCACAATGCAACTAGGTTGCTTCAGTATTTTGGATATCAGTCAAGGATTTATTAGTAGAATTGGTCTGATAACTGCTGAGTTGGGTGTGTGCAGGCATGGGTTCATTGACAACTGGAGCAGAGATTCCCCCATCATGCAGTGCGTCCCTGCTCCTCTGGTCCCAGAGTTCAGTGCGGTTCTTGCCTTGGAATCTCTGTTCTCCAGTCTGTGTGCTAATGGAGATGCCTCCTTGTCCCATCTTTGATGCAGATGAGACCAGGGGAGTTGCCTTAATCTTGTCACCCTTGTCATGAGGGGTCTAGGTGTCTGCCCCCGCCCTTCATTGCTCTCTGCAAGTCTTTTCTCTTATAGGTTTTGGTTCAAGCAGAGGCTGGGGAGGGGAAGGTTTTTCTTGAGTCAGACAGGCTGGATACTGCGCCCTGGTTCCCCAAGAACACAGAGCTGACTGGTATCAGGAGACCCCCACCCGCCGTGCCCCTCCCAGCCCAGCCCCCACTTAGTCCCCCCTGCATCAATGGGAGGCTCCGTGGGGGTGCTGGGGAGTTGCCCCGATCCCTGCCAGCCTCGCATTGGGGCCTGGGGCTCCTGGTAACTGACCCTCTTTGCCTTTCAGATAAACACGGGGAGGAGCCGGGGCCCCCGAATCCCCCAGGTGCCTTCATGAGACCCACTCGCACCCCCCCCGCCTGCTGTCCCCAGCGTCCCTGCTCCGCTCCCATCGGTGCCAGCTGCTGTACCCGGGCGGGAGCCCCCTGGCCCCGTAACCGTGACAAGCCAACCCGCTAGAGACTCACTGGGGAGCCGGCCCCTTGGGCTGCCCCTGCACCCCCTGCTGGGCTTGGGGGGGGGCGTCTATCCAGGGAGAGGGGTGCTGCCCCATGGGACTGGGAATGGGGGTCACCCCTCGTCGGGGGGTAGCAGGGCCCACAGGGCTGATCCAAACCCCATTGCCGTAATGGGGAAAGTTTCTCTTGACTCCAGTGGGCGCTGGATTGGGCCTCGAGCCCGGCCCCTATTGGCCAGAGGCTGCTGTCAGTCACCCCAGGTAAAGCCCCTCCAGCCATTACCCAGCAGGCTTTGGGCCAGATTCAGCCATTCCCAGTCAATGGGGTCCCTGTGGGGTGGGATCGGGCCCATGGCTGGGCGTGGGGCAGCCCCAGCGCCCGGCTAAAGGCCCCATCGCGCCCGTGTGCGGCTCCCCTGGGGTCCAGCCCTGCTGCGCCCAGCGCGGGGTCTGTGTGGGATGGGCCCAGTGCCTGTATAGCCCCTGCCCTGCGCCCCGGGTGTGTCACAGCCCGCGCCCCCCCCCCGCGCCCTGTGCCCCCGTGTGTGTCACAGCCCTGCGCCCCCATCTCACTCTGCAGCTTTGCCAAGAGCAATAAAGGGGGGTTTTGGGACGTTTCTGAGTTTTTGATCCTGATTTAAAATCTGGTCAGTCTGCGCCGTGCCCGCGGCAGCCTGTGTTACCCCAGCCCAGCCACAGTCTGTTCAGGGGCACCGGGTTACACCGGGAGTTAAGGGAGTTTGGTATGAGGGGGGTAAGGAAGGAGCCAGGACTCCTGGGTTCTCTCCCCGGCTCTGTAGTTTATCCAAGGGAAGGTTCCTGGGGAGGAGATGTCTGGGAGCAGGAGGCTCTTTGATCTCACAGACAAAGCAGAACAAGAGCCAGTGGCTGGCAGCTGAAGTGAGACAACTTCAGACGAGAACTAAGGGACACACGTTTAACCGGGAGGGGCACTAACCATTGGAACAGCCGACCCAGGGACACGGTGGATGCACCAGCACTTGGAGTCTGTACATCAGGCTGGGACGTCTCTTTCTAACAGACCCGCTCTAGCTTGACTGCCAGATAGGGGCTGGATGCTGGGATCCCCGGGTGTGACTTTCTGCCCTGGGCCATGCTGGAGCTCAGGCCAGGTGCTCAGAATGGTCCCTTCTGGCCTTGACAGCTCTGGGTCCGTGACAGGGGTGTGGGGAGAGGGCTGCCCTTCAGGAGAGGCCAGCAGAGTGCTCCTGGTGATTACTGCCCTGCCAGGGGGTGGGTGGCAGGAGGGAGAGACCAATGAGTAGCACTGCAGACTGAACAGTGGTGGGGCGGGCAGGGCACGGTGCCAGCAGGGGTTGGGGGGTGTGTAGAGACAGAGGTCGGCAGGGTCTGGGGCTCAGGGCACTGCCTGGGGGGTGGGTCTCAGGGGCACACACAGGACAGGGTGTAGCAGGGTCTGGGCTCAGGCAGGGACCAGGATGGGAGGTTCTGGGGTTACCCAGAGTGGAGTCTGCGGTTTGGGGCTAGGGGTTGGCACACAGGACAGGGTCTGGAGGGGTTGGGGTTCATGGGTCAGGTATTAGCTGGGGCAGTGGTTGGGGCTGAGGGAGGGGCTGGAATTCAGGAGGGCCCGGCAGGTCAGGGGTCACAGGGCTGCAGGGCACTGGTTGCCCTATGCCAGGGCGCAGGGAGGCTGCTGTCCCTCCAGATGGCCGGGGCGTCTCTCCAGCTCGGGGCGCGCCCTGTCCCCTGGGCCGGGGATGGAGCAGACATGGCTCATGTGGAGCCTGGGCCTGGTTCTCACTGCAGCAGTTTCACCCGGCAACCAGTGACCCAGCAGCCCCAGGGCCTGCGATTGGTGCTTCTGAATCCACACCCGGTGCATGGAAAGTCCCTGGCAAAGCCCCGGGTCCCAGGAGCACATGCCAGGGAACCGATCCTGGGAGAGTCCCTGGTGCCGGCCCAGCCCAGCGTGGGGGATGGGGAGCAGCACCCAGCACATCATGGAGCGGCCCGGCCTGGAGACACTGTGAGGGCAGCAGAGCCAGATAGGGCGGCTGGGCCAGCTCAGAAAATCCTGCCTAGATCCCCCTCCCCTCAGAGAGAGGGGTCCCCTCATCTCACACCCATCCAACCCAGGGGCTCCCAAACCCTCCCTTGGGGAAAGGATCCCCCAGCTCACAGACCCCCCAGCCCCAGGGCTCCCCCTGACAGCTCACAGACCCCTCACAAGCCAGGATTCCACAGACATAGAAAAAGTTGCACTGGGCAAGAAGCCATCCTGGTTAAAAAGAGCTGGGGAAACAATGATCAAACAATCAATATACAAAGGATGGAAAAAGGGGAAGTAAATAGTAACATGTAAGTTACAAGTCAACAAATACAGGTGATGAATAAGGGAAGCTAAAGGATTCAATGGCCAACAGGGTTAAGGACAATAAAACAACATTTTAAAATCCTAATTCAACCCGACTCCGACCCCTGTCACACCCATGCTGGCAGCTTCTGCCCCCGTGTGCCCTGGGGCAGGCAGATCCCACAGCCCAGCCTCCCCCCTGCAGGTTAACCCCCCCATAGCTCTCGGTGCATCTCCACACGGGGTGGGTGGTGGTCCTGTGTCCCTGGGCAGGGCTGGTGCGAGCGTCGGTCCCTTTCCCCCAGCCCCGCCCTCAGGGCTTTTCCCAGAAGCTTCCACTTCACCTTGAAGTCAAGTAACCCGCCCCCGGCCAATCAGTGCGCGGCTCCGGGTTGCGTCATCGGTCTCCGGCAGATTCCAGTCGGCAGGGCTGCGCTGGGGCTGGTGGAGCTGACAGGTGCTACTGGAGGGAGGGGGGCTGGGGGATAGGGGGCAGCGGCTCCCCCTCCCCCCGCAGGCTCAGTCCAGCCCCGCCCTCCCGGCAGGGAGCTGAGTTCAGCTGCCCTCTGACCCCAGGGGATTTTTGTGCAAAACCTGAAATCAGTATCTGGAAGGGGGGGGGCACCAGAGCCAAAATGCCCCCCCCAGGGCCTCAGTCCTGAGCCCCCCAACCCAGCCCTTCCCCAGCGCCCAGCTCGCCCCAGGACAGCCAGCAGGGCCCAGTACATGGGGAACTGGGAGCCAGGACTCGTGGGTTCTGCCCCCAGCTCTGGCGGTCTGGTGGGTTATGGGGGGGAGGGGCTGGGAGCCAGGACTCCTGGGTTCAGTTCCCCCCTTTGCCACTACTCTGCTGTGTGCACTGGGGGGCGGGGGTGAATCCCTCCCTGTCTGGAGCTCCGTTCCCAGCTGTGACGTGGGGCTGGCGACCCCCCTTTGTCCTGTCGTCTTGGGTCCTGTCTACACTGGCAAGTTTGTGCATAGTAAAGCAGCTTTCTGCGGTGTAACTCCCAAGGTGCACACACTGCCAAGCCACTTAGTGCGCAGAAACTGTGCCGTTGCAGCGCTGTAAAAAAACCACCCTGACAAGAGGCGTACAGCTTTCTGTGTAATTGGCCTCCAAGAGGTGTCCCACAATGCCTGTCCTCACCTCTCTGGTAATCGGTTTCAGGGCCGGCTCCAGGCACCAGCTTCTCAAGCAGGTGCTCGGGGCGGCCGCTTGGGAGAGGCGCGGCAGGTCCAGGCATTCGGCGGCAATTCGGCGGACGGTCCCTCACTCCCGCTCGGAGTGAAGGATCTCCCGCCGAATTGCCGCCGCAGATCGCGATTGCGATTGTGGCCGCGGTCTTTTTTTTTTTTTTGGTTTTGGCTGCTTGGGGCGGCCAAAACCCTGGAGCCGGCCCTGATCGGTTTGAACTCTACTGCCCTGCCCTCAGGTGACCAACCATCAGCCCCACCCCGTACATTCCTTTGGAATTTTGAAAGTCCCCTTCCTGTTTGCTCAGTGACGCGTGCAGTGGTCTCGGCACATCTTTCCAGGTGGCCATGCCTGCTCCATGCACCAGGCAATCTCCCGCTTGGAGCAATGCTGAGCTGCTGGACCTCATCGGCATTTGGGGAGAGGAGGCTGTCCAGTCCCAGCTATGCTCCAGCCATAGGAATTATGATACCTACAGACAGATTTCACGATGCATGACAGGGACACACGCGCAGTGCAGGGTCAAAGTGAAGGAGCTGTGGCAGGGGTGGCCCATCCATATAGGTGAACTAGGCAGTAACCTAGGGTGCCAAGTTAAATGGGGCGCCAAATTCGAGGGAAAAAAGAAAAAAAAAGAAAAAGATTTAAAAAAAACCAAATACAATAACGAAGATGTTATTATTTAAATTCTCATGCACGTAAGGAGGGAATATGAATTATAATCCATTTCTCTACATTTCTGAGAATTTATTAATATTTCAAATCTTTTATTTACTGCAAAAATAAATAATATTTTAGCGAATTTTTTTTTCAATTTGCGGCGTAGGGTCAAGATGACCCACTCTGCAATTTTGATAAGCAATAACTCAGCCACAATGAAACACATCCGCCAGCGGCAAGAGCTGCAATGCTAGTGACACCTCACTCGAATATACATCAAAGTCACATAGCTGGAAATTCATGTAGAGCGGAGATATTGCGAGTTGATACATGTCAAATGGTCATTTTAACACATGTCGCAGGTAGATGGTTAAGGATCGAGCGAATACTGTGGAAAATTGTGTTTCTTGGTGCTAAAGAATAAATATGGTGAAAATAAATATGAAAAAATCTTTCAGAATTATAAATCTAAAATGTGAGTATCTTTAAGCGTTATTAAACCATAGTGTTATTATTGGGCTGTATAATTATGAAATTTTCTTTGTTATAACTGGTTCACATGTAATAAATATGGTCTGTAAAAGAAAAGTAACAGCGTTAACGCTTAACAGACTATGAAAGTGATGATGACATCACTCCAAGCGGGTAACCGTGAGGAAGGGGATTACTTTCCAAACAACGGGTGTAGGATTATAACGTCGAAAAAGGTCATTTTGTTTCCATGTAAACACTGTAACTGTTTTAATAGGTAAGCGAGTGTATGTTACTAATCAGTGAACCTTTAAGCAGTGAAAAGACCTGTTGGGATGGCTGCAATATGGTTTAAATCACCAACCATGTGGTGTGTCAGCCATCCTTTGTAGAACTGATTAATTAAATTGTTTAATTGTTCACTTTATTAATGTAACTTCATAAGTAAAGTTTTATGAATGAAACAACATTCATTCATAAAACCGGTTACCCAATAACTGACTAATTGGCAATTAAGATGCTTGTTAAGAGCCATAGCTGTTAGTTGCTCTTGTAAATTTCACTGTCAATCCAATTCCTGCTTAAATCACTGAGACTTGCACTGTTTCAGTATCTCAATATTGTAACTTCTGTTCACCATTCACTACACTTGCTGTCACGGAGTGTGGGGGGACACAAGGCCCTGCACCCCCGGCTTCCTGCGATTCACTATGACTCTCAGCCAGCCAGTAAAGCAGAAGGTTTATTTAGACGACAGGAATACAGTCCAAGACAGGTCTTGCAGGCACAGACAACAGGACCCCCTCAGTTAGGTCCATCTTGGGGTCCCAGGGCACCACAGCCCCCTTGGGAGGTCAGAGCCCCGT